GCGGTCATCAATCTCACCGGAGGGGGGGGATTCATGTCTCCTCAGGCAGCAGGTACAGGCTCATACACTGGACACATGCGTTTCATTTGTCTGCCACTCCTCTCACTGTTATTCAAGTACATCTCTAGTCCAGATATCTCTAACAGACACTAACACAATGAGTAGACATACTAATGGATTTAGATTTAGTAGTGTGTCATACTAATCTCAACATAGATCAGTCGAAGTTAATCAGACCCGTTTTTTGATTATCTGGGTTTGTCATTTGATTAACATGATGGTGGATGCCACTTTTCCTCTTTCTGCTACGTTCTACCTTTTATTTCCTGTTACCTCCCTCCCCACCCTGTTCTTTCTCTCTCCCCTCCTCTTCCTCTTCCTCCTCCACCCCACCCCTCTGTCCGTGGTAGTGCTGTCCCAGCTGGGTTGTGGTCTGGAGGGGTCCGGGCCCAGCCTACCGTCCCCGAGGCTCCAGCAACAGCACCAGCCACAGATCCAAGTAATGCAGCAACTTTGACCTCATCCACCCATAGACATGTGTATATCAGACTGACCTTTGACCTCTCAGACACTGATTCCCCCTTTCCACTGACCGTTGAAGACCACGTGAATTCAAAATCGACCTTCTTGAAGGGTTATTTAATTCTGTCATCATTTACTCACCTTCATGTCGTTCCAAACCCATAAGAAATCGTTCTTCTTCAGAACACAAATGAAGATATTTCTGATCAAATCAGAGATATTTCTGTCCCTTCAGTGAAAGTCGGTTCACCCAAAACTCTTCAAAATGTTTTTAAAAATCCGTATGAATTGACCAGTTTAATCCAAGTCTTCTAAAGAGACAGGATTGCTTTATATGATGAACAGAATTATTTCAGGCTTTTATTCACATATAAACATTGATCAGCTAACAATGTTAGCATTCAGATTTGTTCACAGAAGCTCAAGCATGCTTGTTTGACACACAAGAACCAATGAGGTTTATTCTCTCATGTGACGCCATCACGTTTGACCTTTCTAAAGAACCAATGAGATTTGTTCTAACACATCAAGCACGTGTGGTTGAGCTTCTGTTTATGTTTGCTGATCAATGTTTATATGTGAATAAAAGCCTAAATTAAATCTTTTATACACCTTTTTGGTCTTATTGTACATGATTCTTTAATTCACATTATTCCAATGGGATTTGTATCATCAAAAATAATCTATTTTAATATATATATATATATATATATATATATATATATAT